TAACAAACCATCAGTTCAGGGGCTTGAGAAAAAAAGGGGTGTGGACCTCTATTGATTGATTTTCTTTATTCAGAGCGGCTGATTTTTAATTGGTTACTTCTGATCTAAAGCTTCTGCAAATTATATAAACTTAGGGGGAATATTTAGTGTAGAAGATATTTGGCAAGAACAGTCATATTTATAAAGTAAAATTTTAATTTTAATCCATAAATGAGGATAAATTAAATATCCCGGTTTGTTTTACTCAGATTTATTTATTATTCTACTGTAATTCCTGGCTGCAGAGATGTGAAGATAAACTAATTAATCATCTCTTAATACACATTTTAATATATTTCAACAAATTAAACTAATTTTTAAGCTTAACTTTTATTTCAGTCAAGATTCACTGAATAAAGAAATACAATCCTTAAATGAGCTGAGCAGCAATGTGTAGATATGATCTAGATGAGATACGTCTTTAACTGGCAGAGCCGAGAATTACTGAACCTTCTTTAGATTAACTTAAATGTAAGATTAGATGTTTAAATTGAACAAACTACATTCTCTCCTTTTAAAAACCTTAAAAGTTTGTTTTCAGTCACAGAAAGTTTAAAGTTGAATTAATTCCCAACTTCTTCCCCATCATTCGGCTTCACCTGCTTTGAACCGCACTGCATGATAGGAAATGACGGGTCAGGAAGGGGACGCTGGAGTAGGAATGTAAACAGATTAGAGGCTTAATATTAATTGGTAATTAATGATTCATTATATCATTTTTTTCCATCTGATTCACTAATAAAATCCACCTAAACACATTTCTTTGAGAAGTGATGCTGCAGCAGAACGGTGACTGGATCCAGAATCCGGTCCGGATTATTTCCGCTGTTTAATGGAGGCTGCAGGATGAACTTTCTCTGGTTCTGTTTGTAAATATGAACCCATTAATTTCCTCCAGTTCTCAGCTAATCAGAGCCCAGCTGTGCTGCGAGGCGGAGCAGCATCAGCTTCTCTGATGGTTCTGCTGTACAGTCTGACGGTGGCCCCATGCTGTGTAGCCCCTTTTTTCAGGGGGGATCCAGGAAATGTCTTCCTGGATTAACTGGATGTTGGTTTGGATTAAATGAGCAGTAAGTCCCCACCAAAAATCTAACAAATCAGGATCAGAGAATGTTTTTAGAAACCGGATCAAACCATCAAACTAATCCCAAATCTACTTCCTCCTGGCGGTTTAAGTCCCGCCTTTTCTCACATGGTCACTTCTGCTCACAGAGACGGCTTCCTGCGCAGCCTGACAAGAACTCAGCGGGAGAAGAGTAAAAAGACCAAAGATCCAAGCAGATCGCAGCCGCCCTTTTCTGACGATAAAACTCAGAGTTCAAAGACGGAAGCTGAGCCGAGCGACGGCACGCCGCCTGAACGTCCCGGTGAGTCTGAAGCTCCGCCCGTTTGTCAGAGACTGAAAGGGTCTGAATGTTGGAAGAAATCCACTTAAAGTGTGTTTGTTCAGGTTCAGCATCCAGCAGCTCGGGAACAAACTCAGACACCCGAAATGATCCAGGTGAGAAACCACAGTTCCCACAATCCTCTTCTTCTTTTTTTGGAATATCCATGGAGTTACCTTTTATTTTTTTTAATGTAGAAGAATTTGGAAAACTTTCCTGTTATTTGAGTTTTAAATACAACCTGAGGTTCAATTATTGTTTATTAATTAGTCC